GTGAACAGGTACAGTGAGGTGGAGCCCAGAGGTGCAGAGTGGACAGCAGGTCTTGTACCCAGCCCTCTAGGGCTCTCACTTCCTCCTCCAGGCAGTGCCCAGACGTCCCGCAGCGTCTCAAAAGAGCAAAAACCAAAAAAACCCCACTGCTAGCCAGTCGATTCTGACTCACAGAGACCCTGCAGGACAGGGTAGAACTGAGATGGTCCCTCTTGACGGGAGCAGAAAGCCTCTTCTCTATTCTGCAGAGTGGCCAGTGGTTTCAAACTGTCGACCTTGAGGTTAGCAGCCCAACATGTAACCACCATACCACCAGATGTTGGTAGATGGCAGGAATTGCTGTGTAATTCTCAGCTTCCCTTTGCCTACTGCCCCTGAGGACCCCTAGACCCCCTCCGGGAGCTCGTCCCTGTTCTTAGAGATGGGGAGTAACATTTTAGGTGTGTCCCTGCTCCACAAGTGGCCCGTTATCACCTCCAGTTTCCTTTCTCGGGTGCTGCCCTCTGGCTTCAGAATCGGAGCGGGTGCACTCGAAGGGTGGGGAGGGCTGCTCTGCCCCCTTGTCTGGGGCGAGTGCCCTGGTCTTTTGATTTCTGGGTCAAGCTTTCTGAAAACTCCTCTTTAGTCTCTAGGCTGAGGGGTCCTTGCTGGAGGGCCGGGCAGGGGCCTTTGTAGCCCCTGAGCTCCCAGAGTTGAATCAACCCTCTGTAAGGAAGAAGGGGCGGAGGGAGGGGCTGGACGCTCATCCCCACCGGCTCCTAGCATCGGATGAAACCCTAGTTAGCTGGCCCAGGGCACGTGGAGGATGGCCACAAGTCCCTTCCTGGCAGGCCCGGTCCCTGCAAGGTTTGAGGCCTGGACGTCACCTTTCTCCACCCCCCACCCTCTTCAACCCCACCTTGGCCCTAAGAACAGGGGTGTCCTGGAGCCAGCTCCTCTTGGCCCTATTGACAAAGGTGAAAATTTCAGGAACGATGCCAGCCAGTTGTTAAACTCAGTCCTCCCTAATACATTAAAATAGTACAAACGTATGAGTTAAAAAAATATTGCCAACAAAAGTGATATAAACCAAACTTGCTGCCATCGAGTCAGCTCCCACTTAAAACGATCCTATAGGACAAGGCAGAACCTCCCCTGTGGGTTTCCGAGACTGTAAGTCTTTACGGGAGTCGGCAGCCTCTTCTTTCTTCTGTGGAGCGGCTGGTGGTTTCCAACTGCTGACCTTGAGGTTAGCAGCCCAACACATATCCACTATACCACCAGGGCTCCTTAGTAAAGATAATAAATACTTAAAACTCATCCCCACCCCCAAGCAACAGAATCCAACTTCGCTGTCATCTCATGGACAAAGGGCATCGCATGCCATTCTGGAGAACAGGCCCAAAGGGTTTCCAAGCCTGCAGTCTCCACAGAGGCAGACAGCCACGTCTCGCCCACAGAGCAGCTGGTGGGACCAAATGCTGAACGTCCAGCTGGCCGCGGAGCACTTTACCCACTGCACCACCAGGGCGACCTGAGTTTACTTACATCTGGTGCATGTGTCTCCGAGGGCTGTCCAGAGGTCCAACTGGCCATCTCTTCCCAACAGCCCGTGCAGTGGTGTGGCGTGGATGACTCAAAAGCAGCTGTGACAGGAGCATTTACACGGAGGAAACCCACGTGCCTGAGAGCCAAGGGGAGGCAGGCTGTGGGAGGAGTGCGGACTATGGGGTTGGGTTTGAGTTCAAATTCGCTGTCTCCGCGAGCGCGCTCCCTCCACCCAGTCCATTCTGACTCCTCCGGAGCCTATGTGACAGGGTGGAACTGCCCCTGTGGGTTTCTGAGAAGGTCCCTCTGAATGGGAGTAGAAAGCCTCCTGTTTCTCTCATGGAGCAGCTGGTGGTTTTCGACTGCTGACCTTGTGAATACCAGCCAACGAGTAACCCACCACGCCCCCAGAGCTCCTGCCTCAGCCACTAGCCCCAGGCAATTGGCCCTTGAAACTCACCTTTCCCATCTCTGGTAGTTACCTAATCTGGTGTGAGTTTGAGATTATTTAGAATGAAGGGGTGGAGTTTAGCCTGTCAATCAGGTCACAGCTTGATGACCTCATTTGGAGGCTCTAAGGCAGGGGTCCTCAAACTTTTTAAACAGGGGGCCAGTTCACTGTCCCTCAGACCTTTGGAGGGCTGGACTATAGTTTTTTT